AATCCTTGGTTGTATAAACAGAGGCATAGAATCAAAATCATGTGAAGTATTAGTATTGCTTTATAAATCCTTAGTAAGACCACACCTGGAAAACTGCATTCAGCTTTGGTCACCACATTACAAAAAAGATATTGAGACTTTGGAAAAAGTACAAAGAAGAGCAACTAAGATGATTAAAGGCATGGAGATTAAAATATATGAAGAATGGTTTCAGGATTTGGGTATGGCTAGTCTAGAAAAAAGAAGGACTAGACGGGGACATTATAACAGTATTCCAGTATTTGAGGGGCTGCCACAAAGAAGAGGGGGCAATTTATTTTCCAAAACACCAGGGGGGCTGACAAGAAACAATGGATGGAAACTAATCAAGGAGAGAAGCAACCTGGAATTAAGGAATAATTTCTTAACAGTGAGGACAATTAACCAGTGGAACAGCTTGGCATCAAAAGTTGTGGGTGCTTCATCACTGGGGTTTTTTTAAGTAGAGACTGGAAGTCATTTGTCTGAAATGATATAGGGTCTCCTGCTTGAGCAGGGGGCTGGACTAAGACCTCCAGAGTCCCTTCCAGTTCTATTCTGATTCTGATCTTCAGTCCATATCAAACATTCTTTATTTCAAATTGCATGGCAGGGAATTTCTATGCCTTGCCCATTCTCCACATTAAAATCTTTTTTGATCAGAAGATGTTGCCAAATCATATTTCTCAGATTGGTAAAGTTCATTTCTCTTAAACTTTAGGAGCCCATGGATACAGAGCACAGCTGCCACTATTGGTTACTAGAACCACAAGTGAGTGAAGCCCAACAAGTTTGTGAAATGCAGAAGACCTTTGTACTTTCCTGCCAGTTTTTCCACAATACTCTGTCCAAGGTCCTGATTGATCCTACCTTGTCAAATTCAGAACCTTCTCATGAAGATTATCTTCAATCTGATCTGATCTTGTGGAATATGCATCTGCCTTTTTGCTGTTACGTTGCCCATCTGAAATGTAACAGATGCAGGTTCTTCTGAAAACCCAGAGGAAAAACAAGTCATATTTATTGATCATGTTGGGAAACCTATTTGAGAGGAACTATTGATTCTCTGATGATTCTTCATGGTTAGAAAAAGCAAGGATTTTTATTTAAACAGATTTTTAAGTAATTTTAAAGAATTATATAGAGATATAATCTCTTTCTCAGAAGTAATCGCTTATCTCAAAAATTACTCTCCCCCTCACCAAATCCTATACTTGGATTGTTCAGAAATATTGTTTGAATATGAAGACTAGAGATTTTGTAGCATTGTTTAAAAAGATCTAGAAAGTACTCTATACATTGTATAAGTATTTTAAAATGTAGGTGTGTGAAAGACACAGTAATTTCCACAGTGAAAGAGTGGATGGTAAAAGTGATAGAGTTAGCAGAGATGGCAAAATTGACTGTTTTAATTTAAAAAATTATCTAGCTTTGTTTCTCCTTGGAAACAAATAGACTTTTTGCTAAAAGATGAAAAAATGAAACATTTTCATTTTAGGTTTCAATGATTAGAATGATTTTGTAATTATAGAAATGGCTTGGAATCTTGTGAAATGTAAAATAAAAGGATTGATCTTGTATTATTTTATAATCTACTGCACCCAAAAATTTTTGAAGTTTTTATCTTTTTTTCTCTCTTTCCCCATTTCTTTTTTTCTATTCTAATTTTCGTTTGTTCTATATTTTTATATTATAATGAAACTCAATAAAATCCTATTACATTAATGCACGTTAAATATACAGGGAAATCTAGATACATTTATTTATCTATTTATTTATTATTGATAAATTATCATCCACTCTTCTTTATAAACATAATTTCAAGATTTCACTAGTATGTTATGGTTCATAAGCAAATAATAGCCTTTTAATTCGTTTTTCTGTGATATCCATAGTGGAAAATAAGAGTTATATGATTTTTTTACATGTGGAGAGAAATCTACCATGCACACAAAAGCTTTCTGTGTCTTGTGCCATACTTTTAAACATATGGATGTAATTTTCTCAGATGAGAGTGTGGATAGATTATAAAATCAAAACATTGACTTAAAAAAGTAGTCTCAATTTTTCTTGTTATTTATTCATATAACATTAGAAAAGAATATTGTCTTTTTTATATTAGTTTTATTCATTTATAACATAAAATGTGAAAATACAAAAGCAAATAGTACGGGACAGCAGTAGAGAAAGGGAAAAACGTGTGAAAAAGGAGAGGGGAAGAAACAAAAGGCATTGACTTCCAACTCTCTCTGTTGCAGTAAAATCAGACATTGAAATCAAATCTCAACATTTTACATTTCTATAGTGGTAAGCACTAACCATTTCTGTATTGGCAAATCAGTCTAATCAGTAAAACCCAAAATCATAATATCATTTTTTTCTACCTCAAGCACAAAGTCCAGAAGCGGTTTCCAAGTAGAAACAAAACTACTTATGTTCTTTTCTTTTATCAACACAGCCATCTTTTATCAATCTGGCTTTCTCTGCCAATTCCACCAACTTTTGTAACCAATCATCCACAGTAGGAATTGAGGCATCCTTCCACTTTTGTGCATAGAGCAATCTTGCTGCCGTCACCATATATAAAATCTGAGTTCCAATTTTTTTTCCAGTTCTCTTTACATTAAACCCAGAAGGAAAATTTCTAGTTTAATCTTTATGTTCACTTTAAGAATTTTCTGCACTAATATATGAATCCTATTCCAATGTTTCTTTGCCTTATCACATGTTCACCATAAAAAGTCCCTTCAAAAGCATATTGTCAAATTGCAGAGGAATAATCATGGGAACCTCCAGGGTTCATAAGTTACCTATCACTCTACTGTGATCTGTGAAACAATTTTTGATATACAAAGCAGAGAGCCTTGAAAATCAAATATACAATAGATAGCTATTTGGGGGCATGCATGTTTGCATACTCTATAGATGTGATAAAGTAATATTATGATAGCCAAGTAAATATGGCTTTCTCTCTCTCCCATTTCTTTTCAGATCCAGTAAGAGGATAACCTCGTGGATGGCCCTACAGTAAGCCAGATGGAACAGGATAGAACTAATCATGATGAAGGCAATAGTTTAAATCCTTTTTTAATTCCACATTCTTCTCGTGTTTGCCAAGCAGAGCCTTTGTCAGTGAAGCTGCATAATGGAAACACATCAGCAGAAAAGATCTACAATGAACTGAATGGCAACCATATGTGGCTGCATGGGAAGGCCAGTTATGGAATGCAGCTTCCTGCAAAAAGGAATGAGAGTAGTCGGATAAGTCCTGACCTCCTTCAGCAAAAGAAACATTGCAGCGGGTATTTGCAAAATGGTGGGATAAAACGCACTTTTAGCGATCCTTCTTTGTACGGACTTCACCAGAACAAGAAGCTTAAACAAGATGAAGAAGCAAAAAGAGAGCAAGGTAGCTCATTCGCTGTCAGCAACCAAGCAGGTGCTTCTAATTCATGCAGCGAGAAGAATGTTGTGGATTTTGGAACAGAACAAAATACAGCTTCAGTTCTTATACAGTCTTTAAGATGCAACTCTGGTGCTTCAGAATCTTCTCCAGCTCCCCAGATTCAGAATGAACAAGGGGGTGAAAATAGTAACTGCCACAACAGGGACTTTGACATGGCATATAAGAACAAGGCAGCTACAATGCCTAATGGTGCTATAGTTTCTGCCTCTTCCATGGGAGACATGCGTGGTGAATTCCTGGAAAAAAAATTGTCTCAGTATAATCCAGAACATGTTTTCAGTGGAACGCAGACAACTACATCTTTTACAAATGCCATAAACACTCGGGCTATTAATGTGTTGACGTGTGGCACATCACATTTACTGCATACCTCAGGGCAGATAAGTTCCGCTCAAACCTCAAACTCTGAGCTGCCTCAGGTACTGGCTTCTGTAGCTACTGAAGTCCAAAATATAGAAAACTCCAGTAAAAGATCGATTTTACAAGCAAGCTCCAATTTTCATCATTCAGAAGTAATGAACTCAGAGCAGCAAAAGTCAGAAAATACCTACCAGTCACCTACAAACAACCGTGAAGTTTCAGAAAACACAGGGCAGGTTCCCAGTCAGGATTTCTCACTCAATCCTAACAACAATCTGAAGACTCATAGTAGCTCAGAGATTTTGTCACAACCAAGAGAAGAAACTGGTGCTTCCTTCCAACAAGATCCCGTGTTCAGGAATGATTCTTTTAATCTACCCCCTATTGCACTACCTTCTCCTGGGCAGGAAATAAAAAGTGTGCTCTCCATTGAGGCTTCAAAAGATCCTAGTAATATTTTCAATTCGACAGAAGAAAATAACAGAGGGCAAGCACATCATCAGAGAGAACATGGAAAAACAATGTCTGACTTTTGCCAACAAACTCTTAGTTCTCAACAGGGTCATCAATACAAAATTCAGGTTTCACAAGCAACTGGGAGTAAAACAGATGTGGATCTCAGTACAGTGATATTGGGTATGAAGCAGCAAGATCCTAGTGAAATTCAATCCAAACTGGAGTCTAAAATTCAGGATCCACAAAGATTAGGAACCAGTAAAGAATTGCAACATTTTCCACATCTTCTGAGTCAGGTTAATCAGCAGACTACTCTCGATAATGAAAAAGGTCTGGTGAAAAATCACTTGGGGCAGTCACAAACCCACTCACAAACTTCTTGGATGAGAATGACTTCCTCTCCCTTTCACCCCAGTGATTCTTCTCCAAAATCAAATGAAACACTTTTGAGGACCATGCTTCAACGCCAGGCAAATTCAATTGAGCCGACACATCCAAAACAATATATTAGAGGTTCCAATGAATCAAAAGGAGTCACAGAGCAATCTTGCTACCAGAACATTACAGACAGTGAGCAAATACCAGCACTATTCAAAAGGGAGGCAACACAACCACCTCATCATTTTACTCCTGATTTGCAAATTCCATTTGAAAAGCACTCACCACAATCCAAAAGGATGAATAATCAGCAACAACATTCAACTCACTTTCACCTTCAATCACAATCTGAACTCCACCTTGAACAGACATTGGAGGCACAGTTAAAGCCTCAGCATTTAGATCTTCCATTTGAGGATGACCAATTTATACATTCACAACTTTTGCCCCAAATACTCCAGACCCAGCCAATACAACCACCACATAATTCACAAGTAACAATGAACTCTCCACAACAAATAAAAACCACAAAAGTGTCCCAAATCTTTCCCCAGTCAAGCAACAGCCAAGAACAGCAAGGGGAAAGAACGTCCTTAAATCATCTTAAATTAGAAGAGAGCTTTGAAGTAGCAAGTAATTACTTCAAATCAATTGAGTTCCCAGTACAAATTCCCCAGACCAGAGTGGACCATATTTCAAATACAGTCAACAAAAACTCCCATTATAACCAGACAAATAATGTAATGAAACATTCCTGCGCAAACAACATGCACTTGGTTTCTGAGAAAAAGGAAGATCCCTTAATTCAAAATATATCTCGCAACTTGCAGCACATGGAATATTATCCAAATAGTGTAACTCCTAAACAAGATCTGTCCCAGGGCTTTCAGGAACAAAAACCTCCATCTCCACCAACTTCATTTATACAGCTGCCCTTCCAGCAAACCCAACAATATTCTAACATGACTACCAATGTGGATAACTCACAAGCTAGTCAGATTCAACAAAATTACTCACCCTACAATCAGCAAGCAGCATCCCATGCAATAGATCAGAGCCATGGTCACTATCTTCCCTCACAACCTCACAAAGATTTTCAAAAGCGTGCTGCTATTAGATGGCATATTTTGAATAAACAAGCTAACCAAAATAAATCTGAGTCATGTCAAGCTATGGGCTTCAAATCTATCAAAACTGAAACTGGCACAAAGGTGAATGCTTGCCTTCCTCTACCAGTTGGACAGTTGGAAAACAAACCATGGAAGAAAACAATTAAACAAGAGGTTCAGCACTTTGGTTGTGAGAACATGCAACAAAAGAGTATCATTGAAACCATGGAGCATCAGTTGAAACAGATTCAGGTCAAAACACCTTTTGATCACAAGTCCCTTACTATCAAATCACCCAAACATGTGAAAATTGAGGCTGCAGGGCCCATTACTATTCTGACAAGGAGTTGTAATGGTGCAGATTTCAACAGCCATGCCATCTCTTTAGATCAACAAGCCATTCATCCTAATGAAAAAACACCAACCAAAAGAAGTGCTGGAACCATGCTCAATAATTTCTTAGAGTCGCCTTCTTCATTACTAGATACACCTTTAAAAAACTTGCTGGATACACCTGTCAAAACTCAGTACGATTTTCCTTCATGTAGCTGTGTGGGTAAGTTTTGATTGCTATAGTTTACAAAATAAATACTATAAATGTTGCCTATTCGTTATAGTTTATTCAGAAAGGCTAGGCTTCCCCAGTTTGGAATCCTTTAGATATGTTGTTAAGAAACATCATGCTGTAGAACAGAAAGTATTACCAAACCTTACAGATATTTTATCTGTCCTCACCCTTCACCTTGAATATTTAGATATACAGTATAGATTATACCAAAGCTATGTGGTATAAAACTTTTAAAACATATCTATTAATCTTTTTATTTCTTTTTTGTTCTAAACAGAACAGATAATTGAAAAAGACGAGGGGCCTTTCTATACTCACCTAGGAGCTGGTCCTAATGTCGCTGCTATTAGAGAAATAATGGAAGAAAGGTAATGAATTAGAAAAGCATGCAGCAGATTAACATGCAGACTTTTGCATGTCAGAATTTCTTCAAGTCTGTGCGCATAAATAACATCATCATTGCAAACCATTATCATCATTGCTAGGTTGTCTATTCTAATGTTAACAATCCTGGGCAGAGTCTGTTCAGTGGAGAGTCACAATATTGGACAGCTCTCCAGGTAGATGCCAGCAAATGCTGACATGAACAAGCATTCATTGGTCTGCCGAATAAGGTGGATAGCAGCTGGATAATGAAATCAGTGGTCAATCTTGAATGCATAGCATAGGCACTTTAAGAAATTTCTCTGTTGAATCACAACAAAATACAAACTGTGGTTTTTCTATTAACTTTGATTAAGAAATGAGGTTAATCAATTAAATGTTCATAGGTATAAATTTCAAGTCCAGATTGAAAACTCATTAATCAGTAACACACACACACACACACAAATACACAAACATACACTTTACACAGTAGTATTCTGCCATACAGAGTTCAAGTAACAATGGCAGTGCTTATATAAAACCTGTCTCATCTATTACAGCCTTTTCCGACTTGTGTACCCTCCATATGTGATGAGCTATTTGCCAGTTCACCAGCCACTGTGGCCATTGATAATATTTCTGGGAGTTGAATTTTACATACTTGGAAAATTAATAGGTTGTATTAAGTTCAAATGAATTCTGGATCCTTGCTGTTGTTTTCGTTGCAATACAAAATTTTCCATACTTTTGGAGAAGCTGCATTTGCCTGATTAAACATAAACTCAATTGATCTTCAACAAACAAACAAAAATGTAATTGTTCTTTTAAAAATATAAATATACATTTAGTAAAAACTCAAAACTTCTTCATGTTACAAATATGAGGCAAAATTAACTTTCCTCGTTAAAATTACACTTGAAATATTTTGGTTTGGTTTGGCTTGGCTTGGTCTGGTTTGATTTGGATTTGCTACCTCCTTAAAATCGGGGCCAAGCTAATTAAATGCTATAAATAGTAAATAATCTCAATACAAGAAAGGCTTTCAAGTCATAAGTTAAAAGCTTCCAGTGTTCCTACATAGTTGTATTAACATTTATATGAAATTCATGTTTTTATATTTACTCATTTCCTGATTTGATTTTTTAAAAGATATGGACAAAAGGGCAAAGCCATAAGAATAGAAAAAATTGTCTACACAGGGAAAGAAGGCAGAAGCGCTCAAGGATGCCCTATAGCGAAATGGGTAAGAATTATCTCCACAACCTTATAAAAGATATTGTTCATCTTTATAGATATAATTAGTGCATGTTGACTCAAATAAATCTTATTTATATTTTTTTTAAAATCATGGAAGTTAACTGGGGATATATTTTAAATAAAATATGACATATTAATTACAGTTCTATCTTAGAAATTTTACAGAAAGTGTACACCAGGGTGAAATTATGTCTTATGCACATAAGTCCTTTAAAAATCTGTGGATCTGCAACCTCACTATGTTATATCTTTTTAAATTATGCTAGATTTATTCTATCTTGCCTTTCCAAATCTGTTAGTAAAATTTGAAACTCACAGCTCACAGACCTAAAGTTGGAATGAAATTCCCAGTTCCACAGTTCATAGATTGATGCTACTATTTTTTTTTATCATTCTTACCTTTTAATATATAATTGGGTAGAAGATATAATGATGGGCAATTAATCCACCTAGTCCGTTGTCTTTCCTAGCTCATAGTAGCTCTTTCAAGTTGTAGACAGATTCTTATCCAACCCTGCTTTGAAAATTTCTACAAGGAAAGATACTGCAAGCTGAACCAAAGAACTATGGCATGCAAAAGATATACAGAAATCTGGTTTACCAAAAACAGCACAAAAGTATAATGTGGCCTGCTGACCTGAAATTCCATAATTTTTTACAGGAAAAAAATATTTTTGGTGTACTTTCAGGTGATTCGTCGAAGTGGAACTGAAGAAAAACTTCTTTGTTTAGTGCGAGAACGTGCAGGCCACAGTTGTGAAACAGCTGTGATAGTTGTACTTATCTTGGTGTGGGAAGGCATATCTCAGAGCCTAGCAGACAAGCTGTACTCTGAATTATCTGACACTTTAATGAAGTACGGCACACTCACAAACCGGCGGTGTGCACTCAATGAAGAGTAAGTTAAGTATGTACTTCCTTCCCCTTTAGAAAGTATTTTTTCTATAGTTTAGATATATACGACATAGATCATAAAACATGTAGTTTCCCCATTCTAGCATACAATAAATATGTTCAGACTGCAACTCCTAATATTCCTAAATAGCATGGCCAGATTGGCAGATTAGTTACAGATCCGGGTCCTCCTTTCACTGTAAAAGCAGGGTAAGTAAGTATATGTATTTTTTATTTATTTATTTATTATTTAGATTTATATCCCGCCCTTCTCCTCGTAGAACTCAGGGCGGCTGACAATCAATTAAAATACATAAATAACAATACAGGTTTAAAATTAATTAAAAGAAATATTTAAAGATTGTCCAATTTAAAATATTAATTAAAACCCCTCTAAAAATTACCCTAGGCCAGTCCTGCAAGCTGGAATAACCAAGTCTTGAGGGCGCGGCGAAAGGAAGGGAGATCAGGGATAACTCTGATCTCTGGGGGCAGTTCATTCCAGAGGGTGGGAGCTCCCACAGAGAAGGCCCTCCCCCTTGGGGTCGCCAGCCGGCACTGTCTGGCCGACGGCACCCNCTATTCTGACAAGGAGTTGTAATGGTGCAGATTTCAACAGCCATGCCATCTCTTTAGATCAACAAGCCATTCATCCTAATGAAAAAACACCAACCAAAAGAAGTGCTGGAACCATGCTCAATAATTTCTTAGAGTCGCCTTCTTCATTACTAGATACACCTTTAAAAAACTTGCTGGATACACCTGTCAAAACTCAGTATGATTTTCCTTCATGTAGCTGTGTGGGTAAGTTTTGATTGCTATAGTTTACAAAATAAATACTATAAATGTTGCCTATTCGTTATAGTTTATTCAGAAAGGCTAGGCTTCCCCAGTTTGGAATCCTTTAGATATGTTGTTAAGAAACATCATGCTGTAGAACAGAAACTATTACCAAACCTTACAGATATTTTATTTGCCCTCACCCTTCACCTTGAATATTTAGATATACAGTATAGATTATACCAAAGCTATGTGGTATAAAACTTTTAAAACATACCTATTAATCTTTTTATTTCTTTTTTGTTCTAAACAGAACAGATAATTGAAAAAGACGAGGGGCCTTTCTATACTCACCTAGGAGCTGGTCCTAATGTCGCTGCTATTAGAGAAATAATGGAAGAAAGGTAATGAATTAGAAAAGCATGCAGCAGATTAACATGCAGACTTTTGCATGTCAGAATTTCTTCAAGTCTGTGCGCATAAATAACATCATCATTGCAAACCATTATCATCATTGCTAGGTTGTCTATTCTAATGTTAACAATCCTGGGCAGTCTGTTCAGTGGAGAGTCACAATATTGGACAGCTCTCCAGGTAGATGCCAGCAAATGCTGACATGAACAAGCATTCATTGGTCTGCCGAATAAGGTGCATAGCAGCTGGATAATGAAATCAGTGGTCAATCTTGAATGCATAGCATAGGCACTTTAAGAAATTTCTCTGTTGAATCACAACAAAATACAAACTGTGGTTTTTCTATTAACTTTGATTAAGAAATGAGGTTAATCAATTAAATGTTCATAGGTATAAATTTCAAGTCCAGATTGAAAACTCATTAATCAGTAACACACACACACACACACACACAAATACACAAACATACACTTTACACAGTAGTATTCTGCCATACAGAGTTCAAGTAACAATGGCAGTGCTTATATAAAACCTGTCTCATCTATTACAGTCTTTTCCGACTTGTGTACCCTCCATATGTGATGAGCTATTTGCCAGTTCACCAGCCACTGTGGCCATTGATAATATTTCTGGGAGTTGAATTTTACATACCTGGAAAATTAATAGGTTGTATTAAGCTCAAATGAATTCTGGAACCTTGCTGTTGTTTTCGTTGCAATACAAAATTTCCCATACTTTTGGAGAAGCTGCATTTGCCTGATTAAACATAAACTCAATTGATCTTCAACAAACAAACAAAAATGTAATTGTTCTTTTAAAAATATAAATATACATTTAGTAAAAACTCAAAACTTCTTCATGTTACAAATATGAAGCAAAATTAACTTTCCTCGTTAAAATTACACTTGAAATATTTTGGTTTGGTTTGGCTTGGCTTGGTCTGGTTTGATTTGGTTTTGCTACCTCCTTAAAATCAGGACCAAGCTAATTAAATGCTATACATAGTAAATAATCTCAGTACAAGAAAGGCTTTCAAGTCATAAGTTAAAAGCTTCCAGTGTTCCTACATAGTTGTATTAACATTTATATGAAATTCATGTTTTTATATTTACTCATTTCATGATTTGATTTTTTAAAAGATATGGACAAAAGGGCAAAGCCATAAGAATAGAAAAAATTGTCTACACAGGGAAAGAAGGCAGAAGCGCTCAAGGATGCCCTATAGCGAAATGGGTAAGAATTATCTCCACAACCTTATAAAAGATATTGTTCATCTTTATAGATATAATTAGTGCATGTTGACTCAAATAAATCTTATTTATATTTTTGTTTAAATCATGGAAGTTAACTGGGAATATATTTTAAATAAAATATGACATATTAATTACAGTTCTATCTTAGAAATTTTACAGAAAGTGTAGACCAGGGTGAAATTATGTCTTATGCACATAAGTCCTTTAAAAATCTGTGGATCTGCAACCTCACTATGTTATATCTTTTTAAATTATGCTAGATTTATTCTATCTTGCCTTTCCAAATCTGTTAGTAAAATTTGAAATTCACAGCTCACTGACCTAAAGTTGGAATGAAATTCCCAGTTCCACAGTTCATAGATTGATGCTACTATTTTTTTTTATCATTCTTACCTTTTAATATATAATTGGGTAGAAGATATAATGATGGGCAATTAATCCATCTAGTCCATTGTCTTTCCTAGCTCATATTAGCTCTTTCAAGTTGTAGACAGATTCTTATCCAATCCTGCTTTGAAAATTTCTACAAGGAAAGATACTGCAAGCTGAACCAAAGAACTATGGCATGCAAAAGATATACAGAAATATGGTTTACCAAAAACAGCACAAAAGCATAATGTGGCCTGCTGATCTGAAATTCCATAATTTTTTACAGGAAAAAAATATTTTTGGTGTACTTTCAGGTGATTCGTCGAAGTGGAACTGAAGAAAAACTTCTTTGTTTAGTGCGAGAACGTGCAGGCCACAGTTGTGAAACAGCTGTGATAGTTGTACTTATCTTGGTGTGGGAAGGCATATCTCAGAGCCTAGCAGACAAGCTGTACTCTGAATTATCTGACACTTTAATGAAGTACGGCACACTCACAAACCGGCGGTGTGCACTCAATGAAGAGTAAGTTAAGTATGTACTTCCTTCCCCTTTAGAAAGTATTTTTTTCTATAGTTTAGATATATACGACATAGATCATAAAACATGTAGTTTCCCCATTCTAGCATACAATAAATATGTTCAGACTGCAACTCCTAATATTCCTAAATAGCATGGCCAGATTGGCAGATTAGTTACAGATCTGGGTCCTCCTTTCACTGTAAAAGCAGGGTAAGTAAGTATATGTATTTTTTATTTATTTATTTATTATTTAGATTTATATCCCGCCCTTCTCCTCGTAGGACTCAGGGCGGCTGACAATCAATTAAAATACATAAATAACAATACAGGTTTAAAATTAATTAAAAGAAATATTTAAAGATTGTCCAATTTAAAATATTAATTAAAACCCCTCTAAAAATTACCCTAGGCCAGTCCTGCAAGCTGGAA